TTCACTGTATGCTCCAAAGACTACCCTAATTACTAATATTATTTGGAGAGGGCTCCCTCATATCCCACCAGAATCTAACAAATTGCATTTGAATAGCTGAATTTAAAGTTACACCGGGAGCTCAGTAATACTGTATGAGTGGCGGTGGATAAGAGTTGTAGCATGTTTGGACCAGACTGCAGCCTGTCTGTGAGACAGTAGCAAGTCCTCTTGTGCAAGCCTGAGTTTTCTCCAGGTGACACGCAACCTGTGAGTCTGCCTACCTGCTCCCAACAGCCCTGTACAGAAAAGCAGGCAAATAAAATGGATGAAAGGACGATGTTGCAGTTACTATAAAGTTGTTTGAAAAGACGTGACCATTTAAATACACCTTACTCCTGATAACTTCTGAAACCAACATATATAAACATAAAGTGGTGATGTTAGCCTCTTTTTGGGGGTGCTCAAGCACCCCTAAATTTTAACTCAGCACCCCTGAAAAGTAAAGTAAAAAAATTAGGGGTGCAATTTCCTCAATTTTGGGAAATCGGCCAATACTTGCAAGAGAAACCGATTTTTTTTAGTTTTAACAACAATTGTCTAAACTTCATTTATATTTCAGAGCACTACCTCATGGCCAGTTAAAACAAGTTTGTATTGTTTCTAGGATATTGTTGAAGGGTATGGTTTTCAATAAAATTAATATTGGAAAATTGAAGGTGCATTGTGACCTTACAACACCTGACAGTGTCGCTAATAAAACAAAATCGGAATCGGCAGGTCAGACATTTTAGAAATCGGTGATCGGCCAGAAAACTGCAATCCGTGCACCCCTAAAAATATATATAATTTATTTATTTATTTTTGGGGAGTTTTGGGGGTTCTGTTTATTGCATTTATGATTCAATGCAACAAAATCAGTTAACACTAAACTGATTTTGTACACAGCGTTTATTATATTATATTGTGCAATGTAAAGCTACAATGGAGCTTTAGAGCCACGCTAAGAAAAACAAAAATTAAAAGCCATAAAATTACGAAAATAAAGTTGAATAAAGTCTTAATATTACTAGAATAAAGTCATACAATACTTTTTTTTTTGCAGCTCTGGTTTATTTATTTATTTTTTCCACAAGTCGGATCCACGACAAGACCTGTCAATCAGTTCAGTAGGCATGTCAGCAAATGACCCATCCGAAGCTAAATGCTCCTTACCTGCAGAGCTGCAGCCCATCAGAAGGCCTACAATGTAGGCACCCTACATACTGTGCAACATAAAGACAGAATGTAGCTTTGCTGTTATACAATGTTTAAGGACAAAATTATCAATGAACAGTTTACCAGTAAGGTGATACGCTCTGATGGGCTGCAGCTCTGCACGTAAGGAGCATTTAGCTTCGGATTGGTTATTTGCTGACACACCTACTGAATTGATTGACAGGTCTCGTTGTGGATGCAACTTGTGGAAAAATAAATAAATAAACGAGAGTTGTAAAAAAATAAGTCTTGTACAACATTATTCTCGTAATATTAGGACTTTATTCTCATAATTTTATGTTTTTTTTTTCTTAGCGTGGCCCTAAAGCTCCATTTTATAAAACAAAGCGCTACGTCTGTAGCATCTTAGCTAGCGGTGCCGCTGCCGCAATTTGAGCTTGGCCCTGCTGTTTTGTTGTGTCGAGCTCTATAATAAAATGGCTGTTGAATAAAGTGTTTACTAATGTAGGTAAACGTAGATGTTTAACAACCCGTCTAAATACACCAGAATGCAAGAAATGGCATCTACTTTATTCAAAAATTTCTGGGGGAGGACCCCCAGACCCCCTGACCCCCAATATTATGAAGGCTTGTGAAGCCAATGGCCACCACGGTGTTCAAGCCAAGAGCCACTGTAAGCAGTGGGGGCTAAGCACCCCTAAAGGGCATATGCTAGAATCGCCCCTGTAAACATATATATACCGTTAAAACACATATAAAGCACTTTATTGGTAGTTCTGTTCATTCACTCTCACACAAAACGTCTCTTACAGCCACTCAAAAATAACAGATATGCCCACTTTATTTAAAACTAACTACAAGATTGAAATGGGTTATTCACACATAAAGATATGGACAGAAGGCTAAGGAGGAATAAAAAATGCTCCTAGATCCCAAATCTCTGTATAATACATTAAATAAGTTAGAATCAGAGCCATTTGATCCAATAATGGTCTTCAGCACGTTTTCTCCAATCTCTTATTCATTTAACACGTGTTCTAAACACATTTTAATATAATAAGACTTGAACACGTGCACCATCTGTGCCCATCTCCTTCTGCTCCAGGCTCTTAAGAATCATATTTTGTGACTACACGAGAGATGGTGAACTCTCTCCCCGCCTGAGGTTCAGGATACGAACACTCTAGGCACGCTCTATTTATAAACCTAAAACACGTCGGAGTCACGCTAGCTAGGTCAAATTTATACAAGCTTTTGTATGTTACTTTAGAGCATGCGCATCAAGCTACGTCAGAACAGGAAAACACAGCAATGGTACTCAGATCTGAAATAATCCAAGACTGTGAGCTGTTGAGATTCTCAGTAAAGCTCAATTCTCCTAAGAGTAAAACAATCCTTTAAAAAAGTCAAAATCACAGCTTCTCTCAAACTGGCTAATCAAAGTGTGAAAATTCACTCTCCTCTGGTCTGGGCCTGCTGTGTGTGAGGGCTTTGTATGTTACATGGACAACACACAAAGTGAGGGCTGTGGCAAGTTTCAATCACCGTGACCTGTCTGGTCTGACATTCCTGCACCTCTGATCCTTTGCAGGAACCAAGACTGAGGTTCTCACTGTGAGGATGGGACACAGTAAAGATATATTTTATAATGTAGCTCCTTGTCACAAATTTTCAAGATTACTAAAAAATGTCTGCTCAGATGGTCTTTCAGGTGATTGTTGAAGAGTGGAACTGTTGACAATGACAATGATGAAGAGGAAGAATTTTCATAAATGTTAGGAACCCATTTCTGAAAGTTCAGAGTCTAACTGTGACTGTGAGGAGGAGGATGAGACGGACCATCAGCCAGTGCCAAAACAAAGACGAGCCACATGTTCAGCCTATCAGCAGCTGGTAATGTCAAAGAATGGAGAAGTTCAATGGTTTTCTTGCCAAAGATAAGCCACCCCTCATGGCTGCCTGTGTTATGCAACCAGAGCCAACTCAGATGACTTCTCATGTGCAGGATATCAAGTTGTCATTTGAGATTTTCATCCCAGATTCCATCCAGTAGTTATTCTGGATTGCACTACTTTTGAAGCAAGGCATATTTTTGAGAAAAGTGGAAGGAGATGGATCCATTTATAGGTCCATAATTGAGGTTTTTGTCCTTGCTGGAGTTTTCAGGTGCAAAGGACTATCCCTGTGGGATGCAGAAACTGGAAGAGAACTTTTCCATGCAACAATATCTCTGAAAGCTTCCACTATTTTCAGGATTATACAATGACGCCAAGGATGACGCAACATCAGGACGGCAGAGACAAGATGCCATCAGCACAAGTGGGTACATCTCCTCACCCTGCTTTACAAACTTGGGCAGGAATGATGAGGATCTGACGGCATTTAGGGGTCGCCACAACCTGCCAAGTATGGAATAAAGAATCAGGCCATGTGAGGCCACTTCATTAGATGATCGAAACCTACAAGTTGACACAGACATGCTGGAAGATACAGCCCCTAAGAAACTTCAAGGAATGGACTAATGCAACTTTTATTAATTATATGTATGTATAATTTTTTTTTTTAATCTCACATAAGTTTGGACAGGTGCTCCTAAAGAAGAAACTGACCATTATGAGAATATCAAGAAACAAACGTCATTAAACCCAAGACTTTACATTGAAATGTTAAGGACATCTTTTAATCGTATATGCTGTTTATATTGCTTGTATTGGGGGTAAACATCTGGTATTTACTTGTAAAATTGTTTGGGTGTAATTTGAAACACCAAAATGCAGCGGGTCCATTACACCCACAAACACGTGCTGTGCAACAACAACGACCACCACACAAAGATCCAACTTCTCTGTTCCAAATAATGTTAAATTAAAATTTGATCTGTAGAATATGTCAAAATGTTTGGGCAAATGTTGACCTTAGGAGGTATGACAGAGGATTATTGACATTGTCGTCATCGTTTTGTTCTATAGTTAAAAAATAAAATAAAAACACGTGGAAAGGAAGCTCGATCGAGTCAAAAATAATGTAATATTACGTAACAAGTTTAAAAAAAGCTTCCATAACGTAGTAAGCGCATTAGGTCAATGACAAGTGACAAATAAACGTGTTTTTCACTGTAAAAAAATAAATAAAACTTCTTCCCCATCCACAAGGGTCAACGTAGCATTTAGCTAACGGTTTGCTTCTTCTTCGTCTATTTAATTACCGTCAGTACTTCCTGTTAAAAGTAAATGGCGCCCCCTGGCGACAATGTCAACTCATGACATCGGTCGACCACAACTAAATCACTTTTTTTAAATGAAAGAATCCCGAATTTAAAAAAACATTTTCTTTGTCAACTTAAATGGCCAACTACTAACTTCATGTGGCCTTTTACTGTGTAATGAAAAAGAAAACAGACAAGTTTCGTTTTATTTATTAAATTATATATTTGTGGAAGCAAAATGCATATTATAAACACCCCCCACTCCCCCAATAAAGGGTCAGGAATAATTTCCCCCAAATACCACTACAAAATATTAAAACATTAGATTTGAACACGTTACCTAATTGGAACGTACAAATTATGGAGTTTGACCATTCCTGCACACAGAGGTTTAAAAAGGACAAAACTAATTCAGTGGGCCAGTGTTGACGTTAAAGATTAACTTTTTGCAAACATTAAAAGCTGGGCTTCTATCCAGTCACAGGGAAAATATCTTGTTAGTGGTTTGCATTGAAGATTAAAACTTAAAATAAGAGCATTTAAAGAGTTTTAGGAATTCCAGGCTTCCTTCATCACAAAAAGTGGTCCTCTTTGGGATCTTGTGCTTGCCTTCTGTAAATACCCTTCAACTTCTGAAGCATACTGAATTTTACTCATCCTATTTTACAAAGTAATTCCTCCACAGCACTAGTTATTTTGACTTGTGTAACCCCAGACTAACCTGTCAGTTAAGAATTACTCTCCCACATGAGGAAGTCGGAAAGTTAGTTTACACAGTAAACTACAAATAAAGGAACCTGTTAAAAGTTTAATTTCTTAAAGTTTTAGACCAGTGGTTTCGCTCAAATTAAGCTCAAACTGACTTAAAGAAGGAAACACTTGGATTTATTAGAGCAGGGATGACATGTGTCATGTCATATTTGAAGATATAAAGGAAACTTGGACTGAAACATGAGTGTAAAACAAGTCCTGAGTTTTCAACACTCCAAAAGTTTTACTTTAGCTTTTTTGTTTTTTTAAACCAGACTGACCTCCGACATGTGTGAAATCAAAACAAAAAGCAAAGGCTGCACACGCATCAACTGCTGCAGCTGAAAATGATGATCTGGAGGTTAAAGTAAATAAACAGTGAAGGTCTGACATGGCACAGCAAAGGTATGAAATGCAAGAAATAAAAATCATCTCTATGAAAGCTCCCCAAATTAAGACTATACAAACATATTGTACATCGTAACAAGTTAGATTACAGCTCGGCTTTGCTTTGTACAAGTGTCTACATACATCTTCCTTTCAGTTCCTAAGGTAGAAAAAAATACATGCCGTTTTATAGTATCTATAAACACAAAGGTTTAATTTAAACTGATTAACAACAGAGCCTTCCTGCGGTGAGCAATAAAGTTCTGCAATAAGCAGCAAAAACGCCTGTTTGGTTTCTTTTCCTGTCAGAAACAAATGAACACTCAAGCTGATCTAGAATCAAATTAAAACCAAGACATAACGGAGCTCCTCGAGCCAAAATTAAACGGGACCAACGGAACGATGACCGATTAAACAAAGCTACAATACTGACGCACATAAAAGAGCAGGAGTATTCTTATGCACACGTGCACGTGACACAAATATGAAACTCAGTGGCGTCTCATTTTGATTTTGCTCCCTGAACTCTCCCGGTGTTTGTCGAAGTCGTCATCGCGCCTCCCGTCGTTCTCCGAGCTGATGCTGCGACGATGATGACGGGAGAACGAAGGGCGTCTGTTCTCCTCTTTGTCCATCTCCAGAACTCTCGGCCTGGTGAGGACACATTTATATTAGTTTAATTCAATCAGAAACAACAGAAAATAAAAAAAACTACTACATAATAGGACACAAGGCTCGGTACAACCTCAAAGAGCTACATAAGAGAACAAATATGTGGAGAGTCAAGTCACATTTAGTTATAGCACATTTAAAACAGTAACTGTTATCAAAGTGCTTACCAAAAAAGATCACAGCATCAAATATTAATAACATATTACAGCATCATGAATAAAAGCATAAAAACATGAAATATAATTAGAAACAATGAAATACCAAATCAAATCACCCTGCGTTAAATGTCAGGGAGTAAAAGCAAAATGGATGAACACAATCATCAAGAATGAAAGACCGAATGAGATCACACTGTGTTAAATGTCATGAGTACAGATGTGTGTTGAGGACAGATTTAAAAGCAGAGACTGAGGGGGCCTGTCCAAGCTTGATACACATACAGTAGTCCATCGATACTTCAGGTTCCACTTTCACGGACTCGCTATATCGCGGTTTGTCAACGCACATCAACATAAAAACTGTACAGGACACACGACTGTCAACTTTAATGTTACTCACGTGATTGGGACAGTTCGGGACACTACAGTAAAAAGTTAACGGAAAAATACAATGCTTCAGACAGGTGCCGCCATTCGTAGTTTTCTCTCAATAAGCCTCCACTGTATTCCCGCACATAATGACTACATCTCCCAGAAGTCAACAGGGCCCTGCCCAGAAGCCGTTTCCTTCTGCTGTAGAGGGAAAGTTTTGATCTGATCGGAAAATGTTCGGTGCCCAGCGGATGCAGAGAGACGCACAAAACCCACCGAACTGGACCAGAACCAGAGCAGAACGGCACCTCCAGACCCATCAGTCACTCTTGAGAGCTGGTAGCCGGCTCACGAGGACTTCAGAGTGGGGACACGCCGGTGTAGGTCCAGGGCTGTTTCCGGAGCCCATCAGGATTTTTTCATCCACACTTGGACTCAATCGACCACCTCCGGTTCCGCGCCGGCCAACCTAAGGTCTGCCCTCCCCCTCTCCCCAAATGCACTTCGACGCTCAAGGACTACAGTGAACTGGACCTGAACAGGACCCCCAGACTCAGCGGTGAACCCGAGAGCTCCTAGCCTTCCACGAGGACTTCCATGCGGGGACGCGCCGCCTTAGGTCCAGAGCCCACCGGGAATTTTTTCATCTCTCGGGTCGGAGTGGAACCGAGCCGCTGCCGTTCTGCAGAGCAGGTAAGTAAAATGAATACAGTCCTGTACGTACGTTGTTAAAATGAAGTAGGTTTAAGAGATTAGAACATTACAAGAGTGTGGGAAGGGTTTCTAAAGCCTTAAAATATATGTACCATGCTAAAGACTAAATAGATTTTTTATTTTTATTTATTTCTTTACATGTTCAGTTTTGTTTCCATCAGTGTGTTTTCATGCACATTTAAAAACCTGCACTGGAAAATGTAAAGCTAAGGGTCTTTAATTTTGTAAAAAAAAAAAAAAAAAATCAGGATAATTCTAAAATTCACTTTAAATTCGATTGAAAGTCAAATAGCTACTAATTCACAAAGATAAACTCATTTATTAGCCAACCAAAAAGAAGCAGCACTGCTCTGTGGCTGCAGCCTCAGACATCTCGTCTCTTGGCCGGATGTACTGAAATTAAAGTTCCCTTTGGGATCAATAAAGTATATTGATTGATTGAACCAGTTTAAGTGTTCAATGTCAGCCACTTAAAATAAAAGTCTATATAGGCCATGCTTCTACATATTACAGAGAGAACACGAAGCATCTACAACCAGCTGAATGTAGTTCACATTGTTTTAACAGTTAAGTGAGTTTTGTTAAAATTTTGTTCAATCAAAAATAAAAAATAGGCCAAAACTAAACAATGTTGTAAATAAACTGTCTGCTGCCCTGATTTCTAAAGATCGTAGAAAATGACATCATCTAGTCGACTTCTACTTGATCACAGTTCTGTCAGTCTCGCTGGCTCATCTCGGTTTTTCTTTTACGCCTCCCTGTGGCCCACATTTGATTTTTTATGACAGACTTAATGTCATAAATTTGTTTTTCACATCAGATTCAGACCATTTTTAAACGTGGTCCTAAATTCAGATGCAGATCTGCACAATTTTAAAGCGCACTCAGTCTGAACAACTTCTACGCCTGAAGATTAAAATCTGTGAACGTAGCCATTAGGCTTTTGTTCCTCCTCCCTTCTGCTCCTATTGACTGTGCTTCACCACAAAACTTTATATCTTGTAATGTTCACACATAAAAAATAATAATAATAATAATAATCGAACACAGGGCACATGGGGGTGTGTGTGCCAGATTTGAGCCACTTTTGCCTGTATTGGCACCACAGAATTACTGTATTTTCTGGCCTATAAGTCACATTTTTTGCATAATTTACATGCCCCGCGACTTATAGGCCAAAGCAAAGTATTTATTATTTTTCCCCCCCATATTTATAAACCATTTTTTGGCTGAGATATGATCGTTTTCATTCATTGACCTTAAAAAAAATAAAATAAAATTGAACAGTACCACTTTCAGCCACTAGATGGCAGCAGAATGGTAGTAGATGTATAGCATGCTGTTGTATCATGTAATAGAACGTGGCTATAAATGACCATTTCAAACAAGTTCAATACAAAAACAACTGGACTTTATTCATTATACTTTACTTTATTGTTTTTGTCTTGAACTTTTTTGGATTTACCGTGTCCTGGATGACTGAGAATCTTCAGCAGCTATTAACGATACAATCAGATTACAACAGTACCCCCACCTTCGTTCTGCTCTCTGCTTGGAGCAAGTCAAACCAGCTGCACTGCTCCGGAGAAATGCAGCTAATTTGACCATTAAAGTGCATTTATTAAGCAAACGTTAGTGACGCATAATAGATGCAACGTATACGGCAAAGCGGCATATTTATGGATTTTTTCCACTTTATTGCACATATTTGGACGGATGCGATTTATAGGGCGGTGCGACGTGTACGGTGGAAAATACGACATATCTGAACACCAACAAACAGCACTCTAAGATGTGTGTATGTTAAACCTGTGAGCGGCATCTGGGTCTGCTTTGCGATGAGAGCGTTTCGCTTTCAGTGGACCAGGTTTTCCAGCAGGAGAAGAGTTCAAGGGGCTGTCGGAGTCCAGTCGAGGAGCATCAGGTCTCGTTCTGGCCAAATTAAAAGGGGAGAAAACTCTGGGAATGAGAGGCAGGTTTTACTAGATACAAGGTTAAATAAATGCACACAGACTCACTTTCTGAGGATGATCACTGCACGCCTCTCCTTAATATCCTGGGGCCGGATGCAGTGAGTGATGTCATCAGCAGCATACCCACTATTGAGGAAAATATTTGAGTGAGAGGCATATCCAGAAGTGAGCAGCTACACAGAACCAGCAGTGAAAGCACCTGAGGTACCTGAGCACCGTGACACTCCCTCTCCTCACCGGCAGCACGAACACCGGTTCCGACACCCGGATGGGCTTGAACTGGAAGCGGCAGCCGAAGCAGAGCGCGCTGTCGCTGAAGAAGGACACGGACACGATGGGCCGCGCGAAGATGTGCAGAGGATCCACGTGCGAGACGATGCAGCCGCCCGGCTGATAATCGTTGATGACGGCGCTGTTGACGAAGCCCTCGGGGATCACCCCGTTGGACACCAGCCGCTCGATCACCAGCTCGTGCACCCAGCTCGGGATCTCGTCCACCTGCCCTTTGCTGTACAGCCGCTCTTGGCCCGGCCCGCGCCTCTCCAGCTGGGCTCCGTACGTGTAGCCCTCCCCGAAGAAGTACTTGTTGCGGAGGGGGGCCCTGTCCACGGTGTGCTCGCGGTAAAGTCCAGCCTCCGCCTTGGCGACCACCTCGTCGATCTTCTCCTCGATGCGCGCGCACTCCTCCGGGGTGAAGATGTTCAACTGCACGACGCTGCTCTTCACACGACGGGCCTCCTGCTCCCGGAGGTCCGAGCTGTCGTCGCTGTGCTCGTACTCGTCGTCATCAGACTCCCGGTACTTTCGCTTCCGGCCCTTCCCGCCGCCGTTGCTGGTTCGGTCGGAGTATTTGTTCCGGTAGTCGTCCCTGTGCGGAGTCATGGACTTCAGCTTGTCCCTCAGGTCAGAGAATCCGCTGGCTGCCATGTCAGCCGAAACACTATGGCCGCTTTATGCTGTGAAGTGCGCTCCTAACCCAAGAACACGTACGACAGGCGCATTTCAGCACATATTTAACATGTTCCCTGAACGCACCACACGTCTAACAGATAAATATAGAAGTGTCCGCTCGCTCTCTCCACAGTGTCAAAAAGAAGAAAGTGGCGAATAAATATCCGCTAAGTTCCGCCGCACTGTCTGTGCACTGAAGCGGCTCTCTTGTGACAGTTTGTAGACGACAGTTTCCGAATATTACAACCAGATAAAGACGTAAATTATTACTGCGTCAACACAAACCCAATGTCGGCGAAGACAACGAAGAGGCTAACGGTGTTAGCTGCGCTTGCTAACTCGACTAGCCTGGCTTGGTGAGTGTGTCTCCGAAACCACGCAGCAACATCTCACATGTCACCGACAAAATCCAAACCTGGACGCTTCGGAGATCTATCCAACGACGTCATTTATTTAATATCCTCAAAACGGCATTGTAACATAATTATAAACCTAAACTGTGCTCAATGTAGGACTACACGTCTCCAAGCACAACCCTGAAAATAAACTCGTGTAAAGTGCCAGGGATGTGCGCATGCCCAGTTGTGTGGTTTGTCGGTTTGTGGGCGGGGCTAAATCCATTAAAGGAGAGTTTAGGACACTGTAAAACCCACAGCTGCTAATTTTGTCCCACTAACCTCTTTTTACCTTCACAAAGCTGTATTCATGAACAAGTTGATTTTAACACAGTAATATTGTCAAAAATATAGGATTTCAGATCTTGTGTCTGTGCAAAGAAACTAAATGTACTCAATTTAAAATAAAGCTTGTGCATTTAAAAATCCTAAGTAAAGGTATATTAAAATAGTTACAGATATGTATCATTACAGCATTAAATCTAATTATCAAGTAGGAGATGATGCAAGATGAAAATAGAGTAGAAATAGTAAAAAAAAAAAAAAAATGCTATCAGATAATTTTTTGAATTCTTAAACAAAAGCCACATTGCATAAATGTTTTTTCCTCTTTTCTTTTGTCGTTTTTACTCATCTATCATGTTTTGTGAATGATTGACCAATACATTTTTTTATTTACAAATTACAATCACAATAAGACATTTAGAGTGAAATATAATTTGACAGGCACCTGTAATATGTGACAGAAGCTACATGATTATTTAACACACACACACGCGCGCGCACACACGCACACACACACACACACACACACACGCACACACACACACACACACACACACACACACACACACA